TAAATAGACAGATGACACTGGATGCAGACACCAGACCAAACTAACGATACTTCTTTCGAACGAACGAATGACACGAAACATCTCTTTTGAAATGTGTAGCCAGTATACTTGGCAAGGCGAGGGCTATCTTTAAAATAGAGAACGGGAAGAATAGGGAATAGAGATTGGGGAATGGGGAATGAGAAATCTTTAAAATGTGGAATCTTTAAAAGCGAGAATCCTTAAAACGGGAAATCTCTAAAATGCAAGGGCGATTTGAAAAGAGAAATGAATAAATAAACATATTCGCCTGTTGCCACCCAAAGCGTTTGCCACGAAAAACACGATAGGGCACCAGGTACACTCGTGATTTTCTATGGAACAAGCAAATGCAATTTGGACAATCTCATATTTAAAACTCAAGTCACGACGAACGTGAACTAGCGGCATGTAATTTACCCGTGAATTTGTGTAGACCAAATAAAAAGCAGTGTAGACGATAATTTATTCCAATTTTTCAAAGCGATATGGATTTCAGTTTATTTTCATTTTCCACTGGTGTCCTTGTAAATATTCAATTACGTAGTTGACTTTCAACCTATATTTTTCTTAAAAGAAGTCTAATATGATGTGCTAAAGAATTCGTATTTTGATGCTTCGCCGTAAATTTTTCTCCGACTGAAAATACCCGCCAATCTCTACATCCTTAAACGAGCATAGAGCGGTTCACAACATCTGCCGGAAGCAGGTGTATGTGAGAACTGATTTCTCTTTCCATTTCGACATTGGGAGCAGTTTTTATCGCGTTGCCAGTAATTTTTATCCAAAATCAGAAAGAAGAAAGGTTTCGAATTACTTCACAACAATTTCTCGGTTCTGGCCTTACATTATTATAATAAACAGACGAAAGCAAGAAACAGTGCCGCAGATTCATTTGATAACATACTCGAAACTTGTTTTCTTTGTCTGAGATGGTGGTTGACGTACGCGTGTTGTTTACCGCCGACATGCTGAAAGACCTCTATGAGACCAAGCTAGACCAAAGGGTTTGTACAGGCTAATCTTTTTTTTTTACCATGTAGTAAGCTTTTGTTATAAAGTAAAAAAGATAGCCCTATTACAAATGGAACACGAGTCTTATAAATCATTGCAGAGCTTACCTTGAAAAACGTTTCGTCGACGACGGAGTGTGCAATATTGGATTTGGATTCGTGAACAGTTAAGTTTGGGGGTTTTTCTTTGTGAAATGCTCCTTTCCTTGTAGAAATGACAAGACCGAAGATACTAAAAAGATTTCTTTACAAAGCGACGTAACACGTTTGGTGTTTGTCAGGAGAATAGGTCAAATGCGATTAGCTAATATTGTAAGGGCTTGATTTCCAAGAAATTGAGCTGGTCAACTTCCGGTTTTGAGATCACGTCGATTGTTGTGTGACGCACGATCACCCAAGGCGAGTCTATTGGGGGTTGTCCCTGGATGTGTGGTTTAAAATAGCTAATTGCTCTAACTAATCCAAGAGAATCAACATGTGGAGTTCTCGTGACTTTCTACAGAATTTAAGAAAGTAATCTGTTCTTTTGGAGGGAATTTTCAGATAGATTCTAAGGCCATTTTGTGGGGTAAATCAGCCTACTCAAACCAGTCTCCCCTGGGACTAAGTAGGTCGTCGCCAAGGTACCTCTTCAGAAGGAGGGGTATGCATACTTTAGCAATGTTTTTACGAAATTTTATCAATGCGTGACCATTAGTGAACGCCCAACGTGCGAATTTCTTTTGCAGTTCAAGAAAGAATAACGAAATCAAACGAGTACAAGATAATTTTCGCTTTACCACCTACTATCGTTGCTAATGTTCCTATGGCCTGCTCAACGGAGTGGGCATGAGGATAGGATTCTGAGACGGCTTGCACTTCAAACCAGTCTCCCCTAGGAGTAAGAAATACGTCGTTTGTTCTTGGCAGACAGCTTATTTGTAACGGGAACGGAACACGGCATTGTCTTTCCATATAGCTTTCAGGTTATCGGTTAATGCACTGTTTAAACAGACGCCAATCTTAGGTTTGAATTTGTTTGAATGATTTGTGCGATACTGACGTGAACAGAACAGTTGTTAAATAGTGCTTCTGTAGCTTCACGCACTCAGTACAGATTCAAATAGTTCAGATTTGCTATTCAATAAAGCTATGTATTGGAGTGTTGATAAGAATAAATGTTTTGAGGCTTTTAGTAGTAGTAGTAGAAGTAGAAACTTTATTAAAGTGTCAAAAGAACCGTCTAGCCAGGGAACGAATCCCTTACTAATTTGGGGACACCAATTAGGGGAGAATATACAAACTAAATACAGTAGTAGATAAAATATCTATAGTTAACTTATTAAGAAATTTATAGTAAAAACACACAGAAGTCAAAATGAACAAAGGCTACAGCCTGCGCAGCCATCATCTAAAAGTTCACTTATATTGAGTTGGCGTATCTTGCTTTTAAACGACGTTAGGGTTGTGACGTCCCTGATACTCTTGGGTAGTTTTGTCCATAGCTTAGGCCCTAAATATCTAATAGAGTGCTTGCCATAGGTGACTGTCTCATACCTAGGTATAGAGAAATCTGCTTGCCGCAGATTGTAATTACTATTTGGTTCTTTAAAGATGTTACTTATATATGCAGGGCACAGTTTATGTTTTACTTTATACATAAGTATGCACAGATCCTGTAAGCGACTATTTAGTAGTGTTGGCAGATCTGCCTTCTCTAATAGTTGTTCATAACTAGAATTATTATCCTTGAAAACCGCTCTAAGTCCTCTTTCTTGTAGTCTTTCAAGCTTTCGAGTGTCACTCGCTTTACAAAAATGCCACACTAGGTGACAGTACGTGAGGAATGGTAATATCGCGCTTTTGAATAATATTAACTTAGATTTCATAGGAATTAAATTACGTAGTCTCATTAGAACACCAATTCTCTGGCTGGCTTTTTTACAAATAGAGATTACATGCTCAGAGAAATTTAGCTTAGAATCTAACACTACTCCTAGAAGTATGATATTATCTTTAGTTTCAATCACAACATCATTCACGCAAATATTGCTGTCATTTTGAGTGGAGCCCAAGTTCAAAACTTGGTACTTTTTGAGGTTTCCCGCCAATAAGTTAGAATTGTACCACGTTGTTGCTAAGTTGGCACTATCCTTTAACTGGGAAGTCACAGCTGCCTGGTCTGCTCCTGCGTGGTAAATTTGATGGTCGTCGGCATACATAGACAAGTTCGCTGTTAGGCAGTAGGATAGGTCATTCTGGAAAACATTCCATAACAACGGGCCAAGCGCGGAACCCTGAGGACAGCCACGACTCACGAATCGGCTCGAACTAACATGACAGCCGATCTTTACTTGATATTTCCGTTCATTTAAGTAGCTGTTTAAAAGTTGAATAACGCTTTCCTGAAAACCGTACGCTTCAAGCTTGTTCAGAAGTAGTGGTGGATGTAA